TGAAAGCCAGAAGCCAGGTCTAGGTCTCCCATGTGGGTGTGGGAGCATAGGTGCTTGGGCCATCTTCTGTTTTCCCAGGCCGTTAGCAGGAAATTAGATTGGAAGTAGAGCAGCTAGTAAACAGCTATTCAAAAGGAATGCCCATTTTAGTTGCAAGGACAGCAACCAATCATGGAAGGGTGAACAGACTGAGACTGTGGTTAAATGGCTCACACAATTGCTGGAAAGTTTAGAGAATCAGGCTTGAAAACAGGCAGCAATGACCGTTACGGTCACTTGGGGAGTGAATCATGGGTCCGAGCGTCTTCCTCTCTGTCTCTCCTCCTCTCTTTATATCTGACTTTGTAATAAAAATAAACGAATCTTAAAAAAAATCAAGCCATGAATCAACACAATGAGGTCACCTTTGTTGCTGAACATGGGGTTGGGGTGGAGGTGGGGTGTCAAGTCTGGCACTGCTTCCACTGACCCAAATTGGACACAGATATTATTCATGTGAACCAACTTGGCTGTAATCCAGCAGGATGCTCCATGATGCCTGCTTCTTTGCATCTGTCACTAGTGTCTGGCTCCAGAGTTTGTCTTGGTCCAGACTGGGGCTAGCAATAAGTAGGAATCAAGTATTTTCAATTTCCGTAATGAGAGCTTTTCTTAGGTGGTTTGTGCTGCTCTAACAGAATACCTGAAAACAGGACACTTTTGGAGTACAGAATTTATCATAGCTCTGGAGGCTGGCCTTCTTGCTGCATTCTGACATCCTGACATGGAGGAAGAGAATACCCCTTCATCAACTTTTGTAGGAGCACTAATTCAGTTCCCTCATCAGGGGCAGCTATCACAACTTAGTCTCCTCCCAAAAGGCCTGTCACTTAACATGGTCACATTGGCAACCAAGTTACATATGAATGTCAGGGGAACACAATTGGACAATAGCACAAGTAACTGCTGCATCCCAAGACTCATGAATGGTGGAGAGGTTCCCCAAACCTGGAAATGGATTCAAAGGATAGGAAGCCAGAGGTATGGCAAAAGTCCATTCATACCACTGACTGCTAAGTGGGGTCATCTGAAAGAAGAAGGCAATATTTATTTATTTATTCCAAGGCATGAATTCCAAAGTCAGGAAAGTTGTGGTTCCATTGTCAAAAGCTGAGGACCAATAAATTGATCCTCAACAGCTTAGTAAGGTAGGCCATAAAAAACAAAAACAAAAGGAATGCCCATATTACAAGCAGTGACCAAACCTGCTGATATGCCACATAACATGTACCTCAATTCTTTGCTGGTATTTTCAAAGCTGACATATACCTTAACAATATGTGAGGTTACTTTTTATACTTTGTCTGGTCATTTTAGACTTTCAGCTCTGATTTGATTGGGCTAATCTACTTCTAGTTCTCTATGGGGTTTTAGTAGCTCTTGTGTTTTGTGGTATTTATTTTCTCTGTAAGCCTGTGATTTCTGAATTTCTGTAGGGATTCTGTAGGGTAATTTTTGTGAATTACCAAAATATCTGCATTTTGCCTTTTCCAGGCATCTTGTCAGAGTGCCACTACCCACTTGATAAATGATCCATTTATTTATTTTAATATATTTAATATTTGTTTATTTTTATTGGAAAGGCAGATTTAGAGAGATAAGGATTCACAGAGAGAATGATCTTCCATCAGCTGATTTACTCCCCAAGTGGCCACAAAGGCTGGAGCTGAGCAGATCTGAAGCCAGGAGCCTCTTTCAGGAATCTCACATGGGTGCAGAGTCCCAAGGCTTTGATCTGTCTTGCACTACTTTCCCAGGCCATAAGCAGGGAACTACTTGGGAAGTAGAGCAGCCAGGACACAAATTGACACCCGTATGTGATGCTGGTGCTTGCAAATGGAGGATTAGCCAATTAGACATTGTGCCCGCCTCTGAAAATGATCAATTTTAGATGTCATTGTGGGGGCAGGTGTTTAACCCAGTGATTAAGATGCCAATTATGCAAAGCATGCTGGGTTCAATACCTGGTTATGGTTCCTGACTCCAGTCTCATGAACACAGACCCTGAGGATGGCGCAAGCGAATGGGTTCCCACTATCCAAGTGTTGAAGTCTGGCCTGGGTTCTTGGCTCCCAGCGGCAGCCCAAGGCAGTCCCAGCCCCTGCAGGTATTTGGAGAGTGAATCAGCAAATGGAAGGGATCTTTGACATATAATAATGTTAATAATTCAAGTAATGTCACCTTGACTGGAGAATGTTGGAAACCCGTGGTAGCATTCACTTGAGAGGTAGAAAAACAACATACATGACAACTAACATTTAGGGATTATCAGAGAGGAATTATTCCCTGTATACTGTCAGATATTAAAATAGGTAAGTTTTATTATTGTCTCATTTTAATGTGTTTCTGCCGCTGTCTGGTAAACTTTGTTAGTGGCTGTGGCAGCTTTACCTAGAGGTCTCTCATTATGCTTGACTGTAGGGGAAATCTCTGCCTTTTTCTCTTGTCCTGCACTCCTTGCACAACTGTTACAAATGGAGCTTGGTTGACCTGATGCAGTAGCCTAGCAGCTAAAGTTCTCGCTTTGCATCTGCCAGAATCCCACATGGGTGCTACTTCTGCACCTGACTGCCCCGCTTCTCATTCAGCTTCCTGCTTGTGGTCTGGGAAGCAGTTGAGGATGGCCCAAAGCCTTGGGGCTCTGCACCCATGTGGGAAACCTGAAAGAGGCTCCTGGTTTCGGATCAGCTCAGCTCTGGCCGTTGCGGCCACTTGGGGAGTGAATCAATGTATGGAAGATCTTCCTCTTTGTCTTTCCTCCTCTTTGTATATCTGACTGCAACAAAAATAAAATAATTAAAAATATAAATAAATGGAGTGGGTCCGGCACAGTGGTCTAGTGGCTAAAGTCCTTACCTTGAATGCGCCGGGATCCCATATGGGCACTGGTTCTAATCCCTGTAGTTTCTTTTTGTAATTATGTTGAATAGTATATGAACGCATTAGTTTGTATATACTGTATTGAAGCCTGGTTTTGTTTTCATTTTAACAGTGTATTTTGGAGATTTTTCATGTGACACATAAATCTTTTGTATTATTATTATTACAGAAAAATAGGTAATTTGAACCTGACCAATCATTGGAGACAGAGAACCTGAACAAAACATAAGAAGAAGAAAGTAACATGATATAGAAGATTCTTAGGCCATGTAGTGAATATTTCTGCTAGCTGACTCAGACACTCTTGGTTTTTTCGTAGAAGTTGCACTCAGATTTTGCTTCCATTATTGCACAATCTAAATGACAAGGGATATGGATTTTTTTTTAATTGGAAAGGCAGATATACAGAGAGGAAGAGAGACAGAGAGGAAGATCTTCCGTCCAATGATTCACTCCCCAAGTGACCGCAATGGCCGGAGCTGAGCCAGTCTGAAGCCAGGAGCCAGGAACTTCCTCCAGGTCTTCCACACAGGTGCAAGGTCCCAAGGCTTTGGGACATCCTCGACTGCTTTCCAAGGCCACAAGCAGGGAGCTGGATGGGAAGTGGAGCTGCCGGGATCAGAACCAGTGCTTTTATGGGATCCTGGCACGTTCAAGGTGAGAACTTTGGCTGCTATACTGTCGTGCCAGGCCTGATATGAAAATTTTGTTCTTTGTAAGAGGTACATCTGGTTGTCTATAACATTATTCTGTTTCTGTGGAAGAATAAATATTCTCTTGAGAGGTGGTTGGCCACAGACGAGTATCTTTTTTCTATAATTTTCTAATTAAAAAAAAAGAAACTTTCTGATTGTTGCCCAATAATTGGAGGAGGGTGGAGCTTGCTTCAAGCCCAACCTCAGGCTGCAACCTGGAAGGACGGAATTTCGATGGGTGCCCAGAATTCCGATGGGTCCCCAAGGCAGTGAAATCACTACCTCACTCATGACAGGCCCCAGGCACCCCTGCTTCAACTTCCATAGCAAGAGAGGTTTAAAACTCCCTTGCATCTCTCTTCCTGGCTCTTCTTCCTCTGTATCCCTCTCCTTCACGTCTCTCTCTGCTACATGGGGAAGGGAAGCCCGGGGGGTTGACGAATCTTACACTTTTCGAAAGGAAGAAACTGTAAGAACTTTATTTGTATTTTTGTTTGAGCCCATCAATTTAAAAAGTATTGATATTAAGGATATTTCATTTTTTTTCCCTATCAAGTCCCTTGCTGTTGCTATGTTTGGTTCATCTTATTCACACTGCCTATACTGGTGCCCAACATGAAGTTTGTAGTCACATTTTTGTTGGACAGATACATGGTTTTAAATTCTCATTTTCCAATGGAAGTTAAAAATTTTCTGCAGTAAGAAACATTGTGTCTTTTCTCAAGAATTGTGTAGCATCTGGTTTCCGTTACTGGGTTTTTACAGAATATATGGAACATATCAATGTTCTGATGGGAGAGAAATGTCATTTCAGACAAACTGCCCACATAGGCCCACACCAAATTTTACACACATTTTGGAAGTTCATGGATATTTGAAGCACCAATTCCTGAATCCCAGCTCAGTAAACTTAGGCCCCAAATAAGACATTTTGATCAGTAATGTGGCCAAGTCAGTTCCACATCTGTATGGTGCTGTTAAGCCTGTTACCAGCTCTAGACTCAAGGAAAGAGTCTAGGATGTACCTATATGACCAAGAGCCAAAGCAGTTCACATGGATTCCCTTTCTCTAGTCCTAGGAAGACAAAAGGCTTTTGTCTTCTATCTGTCCCTCATCTGTCTTCTTTCTGTCCCGGAAACTCAGAATTAGAGTGGCCATCCATCTCAACAAACCTGGGACAGGCTTTGTTTACAACTCTTGTTGTAGTGTAACTTTTACCAGCATGTCACTTCTCTCTAGACAACTTCCCAGTTTGGACAATAAATTATATCATCACCCTACTCAGAATGAGCATCCTTTGATTAATTTCTATGTTTATTTCTTTCTTTCCAATCATGTAGAGTTCATTCCCAAGCTTGATTATTCCTGTATCCTCACTGTGCCCCCTAAATCTCCTCTTCCTCAGGCTCTACCCAGACTTTGATCTGCTTAATCAGGAGCCAAGATTCTTGAGATTCCAACACCAGAAGTTGTATACAGTTCAGCTCTCGCCCCGAACCTTCTTCATAAAATACCCTTTGATCCAGTTTCCCTTCCACTAGTGGCCCTAGCAGGGTGTAGCGAGCACAGCCTCTGGAATCCCCTAAGGGCTCAGAGCCAAGCAGAACATGCCCTTTGTTTAGTCGGTATAGTCCTTGATCGGCAGAGCCTGTTAGCACCGCAATGCGGGTGACTCTGTGTGGCTTGTTCAGAACCACGGTGAAGTGATTGCCTTCCACAGGATCCAAAGTGGAGTAATACTCCTCATTCAGAATATAGGCATATTGGGGGATGACATTCCACAGGGAGTACATGCTAGTGTGAACAGTAGCTACGGGATTGTCTGCCTCACCAAAGACCTTGTCTTGCTCCAAAGGAAAGCATGTGTCATCAAGTTCAGACTTATTGCCCATGTGGTGGAAGAGGGAGATGCTGAAACGAATTGGAACAGTTTGACCCAAGAAATGATGGAATTTAGAGAGAAGCAAGTGAGTAGGAGCATCTTCAGGAAAGAGGAGGGAAAAGGACGTGAAGCGGGATAGGTCGCTGGCATGCAGAACCTTCCCAGAGTTAAGGCTGGAGAACTCCAGGACCACCCAGCGTTCTTCTTTCCAGGCCAACAGTGTTCCATAGATGGCAGAAACAAAGTTGGGGGCAAATTGAGTGTTGTCATCCAGCAGCAGGAAGTACATGGAGAGCTGACTGGCGAAGTTCATGAGGAGGGCGTGCCCTTCTCTCTGCCTGGAATAGAGCTCTGCACATGTTGAGGAGTAATTGAGCTTCACGGGTCCTGAGAGAGAGGAGTTCCCGAGAAGACCAGTGACCACAAGCAGGCTCCTGGACCTTATATGTGAGGCGAAGAGCTTTAAAATACTGTCAGCTGTTTTGAGTAGCCATTCAGGGTCAGCATCTGACAGGTGGACCAGCACCACGATGCACTCCAGCTCAGCCTCGGACGTAGCTCTGAACAGGGAGTGCAGTGTGTCCAGCAGGTGGCTCCCGTGAGGATGCTGCATTGAGGAAATGCCCAGAGTCAGCAGTCCTGGGGAGGACAGGAGAAACAGGGACCTTCAGCACCTCAGGATGGAAAGAGTTTCCAGGACTGTCTTCCCAGTTCCTGCTGGTGTGCCCACACCCAGGACAAACCCACATTTGCTTTCCCCCAGACAGTGTGGTCCAGACAGCAGGTTCAAACCTGGTCAGAAGCGCTTTGATCTGATCAGCACTTTGAAAGGCCAGAGTGTGCAGGAAGCGCATGAAGGACAAGGCTGTCTGCTGAGAGAGCACAGATGTTCCCCCTGTGTGGAGATCTGCCATTTCTTTTTCTCCCACCACTCCCCCCCCACGCCCCACCCTGACACATGTCATAAGTCAATGTGCTGGCCTGGCAGATCATCTTAGTGTGGCTTTGACCTTGAGTCATCTAGGCTGTGATGAACCCATGAGACCTGGACCAGAGGATCTGTGGGGATGACAGGCCAGAGCATGGGCAGTGGCAACGTGAGGGGGTGGTTGTGTACTGCAACCCAAGGCCTAAGCTCCCTGCAGCCATCCACTGCTTCCTCCCTGGCTCCCACTGGTTCCTCCCTCTTCTGTGTTCTCCCCCTGGGGGATCTGCCCTGAATGAGCTTTGCTTTGGAGGGACTCCTTTGCAGACTCACTATGGCCTGTGGGCCATTTGTCCTGTTGGTCACTCAAGGGGCGGGCAGGTCAGGTGGGAGGACGCTGCACTCAGGGTTGTCACCTGCACCAAAGGTCATACACAACATGGCCCTGTCTCTGGGTCCTCTGTCTTCTTCTTGAGTGCCAGTTCATTCTCCCTTTCTTCTTTCTCACTGCAGTACCTGTGTGGCCTCTCCCAGTCGGCCTGCGCCCTTGCATGTACTCACTCTTTCCATGGGGAGGGTCTCCAGCCAGGAGTTTGTACTTGGTGTGCTGGAGCAGAGGGGAGGTTTTCTGCATCTCCTTGAAGCTTTCCAGATGGTTCTTGATTTCTGAGCTGAGTTGTTGCTGAACCATTTGCTGAACTATGATCTTCTTTCGCTTTTGAGGACAAGACAGTTGTCAGGCCTGAGGTTCATCCTGGAGAGAGTTGGGGGATAGATCCCCCTTCTAGGACAGGTTGGGCAGGCTTGAGAGTAGCTGGAGTTTGGGGCTCAGGAATGCCTCTCCTATGGGGGCCTTCCCATGGAAATAGTGGCCGTGAGCCCAGGAAGTGGATCCTCCATATCTGTGTGGAGCAGCACCTGTAGGTAGGCCTGTGGTGGAGGCAGAGTTGGCCTCTCTGCCTTCTCCTACTGTACCCACCTCTAATTTTATTCCCATCGTCAGGCTGTCAAATGTCTCTCTCCTCTCAGCCTGAGCTCATGCCAATTTCTATGAGACATGGTAAGACCCAGACTGGCTGCATTCTTCAGGTGGCTTTCACACAGCTCCTTGCTTTTGTAACTATTTTGTTGCTGTGGACGTAGTCTAATCCCAAGCTCTGCCCTAGCCACTCTGTGACGTGTTTTGCTGTGAACATCAATTTCCAGTCACAACCTGTGCGTTGTGATTTGCTCATGTCATTTACAGGCATGGTATCCAAGGGACATGAATTTACTTGCTGTAGAAGAGTTGTGAAAGAACAGCTTCTCCCATGACAGCCTCTGGAATGGGAGGCAGCCAGCACTCAGGGGGTTCCCACCCCTTATGTCCTCCAGGCTGCAGGGTCTTTTAGAGCTGGCTGTGCCCTTCCTTACTCACACTCAAGAAAGCCTTCTGCTCTGTCCTACATCACATTCAAAACTGGTTTAAAGTTGGTACCTTCTCTGACACTCCCAATGTCTCAAGTGCTCTCTTAGAACTCTTGTGATGAGACTAGAATGTTTGAGACAATTGGGAAGTACTCCTTTATTGTAAATTAACAATTGGACCAGCCTGATCTGGTACTCACCTCGGATATACTGTGCTCAACATTCTTTTTTTCCTCTTGAAAGAAGAACCCCAGGATAATGAAAATGACAAAAATGACAATGTATCTCCGCGGACAAGAGGGCATGATGCCAGGACTATGAGCAGATCTGCAACAAGTGAACAAGTGGTGAATTCTGTCTCCTGTTCAGAGATCTGCCACTTCACCCTGTGCTTCTGGACTAACAATTTCCTCAACTTTCCCTGGCCAGATCAGCTCTTCTGCACTGGCAGTCTCTAATGAAAGCAAAGGTTAAGGAGTTGGGTTGGGTTCTAAGCAGTCACTGCCTGTCACCTCCCTGACTTCCCTGGTGCTATCAAAAGCTCCTTTATTTATGGAATGAGTAGGATCCATAAATAACCCCAACCCTAAGCCCTAACCCTATCCCTAACCCAGCCAGAAAAGACAGGCTGCAAAAGGAGGGGCTCGAGCATTGGCTATGAATTACATTCTCCTCGTGCTCAGACTGAAGCCAAAATCTTCTCTTGGGCCTTACTGATCAACTAACTGGATCTCATCTGTTTGTTCCACGTTGACTTTTGGGCTTATTCCTTCCCAGGATTATGTAGGGAAGCAGTTTTGAATCAAGTCAGAGGGACTTGCAAAGGAAATGCTTTGACCTCCCTTATGCTGAACTGGTCAGAAGGATGGAAGTCTGAAAGAGATTCTAATCATATGTAGAGGATTTAAAAATAATCTAATAGATACTGTGGCCTAGAAGTTTCTCAAAGAGAGTTCTGTGCAATCAAAGAGAAATTACTTGAACATGAAAGATGAGGCCAACTGGTCCCTCTGAGGTCTCTGAAGTTGGTCATCTTTCCCAGGAGACCCTACCTGCCAGCTGTGGCTCCTCCCTCAGTTGAGGAAGGGGTGCCTCCAAGGAAGCATCTATTTTCTGAGGGTGATAGGACTTGGTACAAGAACTAGCTTTCAGGTCTTTTCACTTGAAGTTGGAAAGTGCATTGCCAGTCTGAATCAAATCAAGAGTGGTTTTGAGTTACCCCTTCCCCTAGTGCTGTGGTTCCACACCTTCTGCCCTGGGCCACAGTCACACTGTACTCCTAGGACTGCAGACATACAATTAGGTCTGAAATCTTCAGTTTCCTTTTGTACCCAGAAATGCTCAGAGAGTCTGTGACATTTGCTACCAGTGAGATCACACTGTCTTTCTCTTTCCCCTACTCTGAGGTCACAATGATGATCTCCCACGTATTCTTCCGGAGGTTACACAGGGTGGACTTTCATGTGGGCTATGTGTTACAGTTCCTGTTGTATTTTTTACACATGGATGGTAAGTTGTCCTTATACTGTTTATTAAACATTTTTCCCATTCAATTTTTGAAGATTTGCTTATTTTTATTGTAAAGTCAGATTTATAGAGAGAAGGAGAGAGAGAGAGACAGAAGGATCTGTCTGCTGATTCACTCTCCAAGTGGCTCCAAGACAGCTGAGCCAATCCGAAGCCAGAAGCCAGGGGCTTCGTATGGGCCTCCCACGAGGCTGCATGGTCCCAAGGCTTTGGGTCATCCTCGACTGCTTTACTAGGCTACAAGCAGGGAGCTGAATGGGAAGTAGAACAGTTGGTGGTACTCAAATCGGCATCCATATAGGATCCCAGCACATGCAAGGCAAGGTTTAGCCACTGGGCCACTGTGCCTGGTCCTACTCCACTCTTCCCATTCTTCTTCCTCTTCTTTTTTAAAATTTATGTATTTTTATTAGAAAGTTAGATATAGGGCCCGGCGCGGTGGCGCAAGTGGTTAAGGTCCTCGCCTTGCACACCCAGGATCCCATATGGGCGCCGGTTCTAATCCCAGCAGCCCCGCTTCCCTTCCAGCTCCCTGCCTGTGGCCTGGGAAAGCAGTCGAGGACGGCCCAAGGCTTTGGGAACCTGCACCTGCGTGGGAGACCCCGAAGAGGCTCCTGGCTTTGGACCGGCATAGTATCGGCCATTGCGCTCACTTGGGGAGTGAATCATCGGATGGAAGATCTTCCTCTCTGTCTCTCCTCTCTGTATATCCGCCTTTCCAATAAAAAAATAATAAAAATAAATCCTAAAAAAACAAAAAGGAAAGTTAGATATACAGAGAAGAGGAGAGACAGAGAGAAAGATCTTCTGTCTGATGATTCATTTCCCAACTGACCACAATGGTTGGGGCTGAGCTGATCCAAAGCCAGGAGCCAGGGACTTCTTACTGGTCTCCCATGTGGGTACAGGGTCCCAAGGCTTTGGGCTGTCCTTGACTGCTTTCCCAGGCCACAACCAGGATTCTGGATGGGAATTGGGACGACCAAGACACAAAATGGTACCGCTATGGGATCCCAGTGCGTGCAGGGCCAAGGACTTTGGCCATTAGGCTACAATGCCAGGTACCCTACTGTTCATTTTTCAATGTCATCTCTGTCATAAGTCAAATTTCCATCATGTTCTTCTTTCTTGCAGATGAATTTCAATCCATGTGCCTAAACAAGGACATTAAAAAATATTATTTATTGGACCTGGTGCTGTAGCCTAGTGACTAAAGTCCTCACCTTGCACACATCAGGATCCCATATGGGCACTGGTTCTAGTCCTGGTGGTTCTACTTCCCGTCAAGCTCCCTGCCTGTGGCCTGGGAAAGCAGTTTGGGACGGCCCAAAGCCTTGGGACCCTGCACATGCACGGGAGACCTGAAAGAAGCTCCTGGCTTCAGATCAGCTCAGCTCTGGCCATTGTGGCCACCTGTGGAGTGAATCATCAAACGGAAGATCTTTCTGTCTGTCCTCCTCTCTGTAAATCTGACTTTCCAATAAAAATAAATCTTGAAAAAAGAAATGCTTTAAAAATGTTATTTATTTAAAGAGAAAGCAAGGGAAAGAGAAAGGAAGACTTATTATTTATTCCTCAAATGCCCATGGCAACCATGACAGGCCAAAACCATGGACTAGGAGTTCTATCAAGGTCTCCAATGTGGGTGACAGGGACCCAAGTTCTGGAACCAATATCTGCTGCCTCCTAAGGTGTAGATGAACAGAATCCTGGATCTGAAGCAGAGATGGGACTTGAACCCAGGATCTGACATGAGATGTGGGGTCCCAATGGTGGCTTAGCCTGTTGCACTGCAGTATTGCCCAGGACCATTTTAGTTAAAAAAAAAAATCTTGAAACATTTTTTTTTGGCTCTGGGTCATGTGCTTCCTTTGCTCTGGCACTCTGACTTTTGACTGTCCCAGACAGACATTCCCTGAGCATGGCTCCTGTGTGTCTGCATTCCTCACCCCTTGTTCACTGCTTGGGTGGCACAATGAAAATGGCAATACTAAGATGCTTTGTATTTCTAATTTGTGTACTATTGGTTGTTACAGGAGAGGTGAGGCCTAGCAGTAGTGGAATGTGGGCAGAGAAGCCAGGGAAAGGTGAATCTCTGCAACTTTGTATGTGCATTCAGGTTGCTCATTGCATGTCTATTAGCTTATATTTATACTCTTAACTCACAATGTTGGAGAAGCTGAGACATAGGTTTTCAGCTCAATGGATGGACTTCAGGGTAAATGTTCCTTTTGGGGTTACAATTGATTGGATTGCCATATGGACTTGTGATTTGCTGTTTCTACTGGGCCCTGCTATCACCAAGCTTGGTTAATAAAGATTCCTTAATAAGTGTTAAAAAAATTTTTTTTGGTATTCTATACATAGGTGAAACTATGCACTGTTTGTGTTTCTATGGCTGGCCTATTTCACTTGCCATGGTGTTTCCTGGTTATTCCTAAGTTTCTATACAGTTTCTATACTCAAGTTTCCTATTCACTCATCTGTCACTGGATGCTTGGGCTGTTGCTGCATCTTGGCCACCATGAGTGATGCTGCCATCACTGTGCAAGTACAGATGTTTCTGTGAGGTGCTGATGTCATTTTTTTTTTTACTTGAAAGAGGGATTGTTGGGTCAAATGGGAGCTCTATTTTTAACTTCTTTAGAAGCTTCCACACTGTTTTCCATAATGGTTAACCCATTTACCTTTCCACTAACAGTATACAAGAGCCGTCTGTTCTCTACACAACTGTGAACATTTAGAAATTGACTGATAGCATCCCTCTCAAGGAGTGGGAAGTGTTATTATGGTTGCAATTTGCATTTTTCTGATGATTAATGATGTTGAACCCCTTTCTGTGTATCTGTTGATCATTTTTATGTCTTCTTTGAAGAAACATCTACTCCTTTATGTACTGTGCCACTTCTATAAATATGTAGGATGTTTTTCAAATTATATGCCCAAGTCACATTATTTTAATTGAAATAACTTTTTATTTTCTGAGTTATATTTATAAAAATACAATTTATGATCCATTTTAACTGTTCTGTTTGTGGATTTTTGGCAAATGCATATGGTTATATATATATCACCATTAATATAAACAAGGTACAAACTAGTTCTATCACCTTATACCCTTCCTCTGTCTGTACAGTCACTCTCCCCTCTTGACCAAAAACATGCTTTCACTGTTGTTTGCCTTTGAGAAATTCTACAGTATACAGTCTTTTTGTCTTTCTTTTGTCACTATCTTGAGAGTCATTCATGTTTTTGCACATATCAGTGATTTATTTCCTTTCTATTACAGAGTAATATTCCATTTTGTGCATATATGTACTATTTTTAAATTCTCACCTCCTTGGATGAATGTTTGGATTGTTTCGGCTCTTTGCTAATATGAATAAACTCTATGAAAACATGTGTTCAGGTCTTTATCATGAAACACACTTTCATTGCTCTTGGAGAAATATCCAACAATGGAAGGGCAGGTTTGTATGTTAGAGCAGTGCCAATTTAACCCCTGCCACCCATGTGGGAGACATAGATGAGGCTCTTGGCTCCTGGCTTTGGTCTGCTCCAGCACTGACCATTGTAGCTATTTGGGAATTGATCAGCAGGTGGAAGATCTCTGTCTCTCCCCACCCCCATAAATATATCTTTCAAATAAATTAAGAAAAAAAAAGTAGATCTTTGAGTGAACATACATTTTCAATTCCTTCACAGAAGCATCCAGGAACATTTGTTGTGCCTGGAATAAGTACATACGTACTGTTTAACAAACTGTTAAGTGCTTTTAAAAAATCTATATTTTTTTTTTTTTGGAAAGGCAGAGATATGGAGAGAAGGAAAGAGGGAGGGGGAAATGGAGAGT